CCTTTTTTTTTTTTTTTTTTTTTTGACATGGTCTCACTAAGTTGCCCAGACTGGATTCGAACTTGGCATCCTCCTGCTTCAGCCTCCCAGGGTACTGTGATTTAAGGTGTGCACTACTGCTCCTGGCTGTGTTATTTAAGCTTCACATCAGTACTCATTTTACTAACAGGCTCAGGGATACCCAGTCAACCTACTCAGAGTCCCATCACTTGCAAGTCGTGTTTCAGGCTTCGCGTTCTGGTCTGTGTGATTCCCATTGCCCTGTTTGGATTCTGCCACTTATTGCCAACATTTTATAGCAGAAGAAAATCAACTCGGTATAGGTGAAAACAGCTGAAGCAGCAGGTACATTTGGGAGAGGAGGCTGAATAGATGTATGCAGCACATACCGTTCAGCATAAGTGGCTTGACATCAACTCTGGGTTCCAGAGATCAGATGAGGTCAATGAATTATGCAGCATCATGCCATTTAAAGGAATGAGTGCTTGGTATTCCAAGCATAGAGAACAGTCCTGTCCCTGTGTGGCCCACACCTTGGGTCTGACCCAGTGTGATAACCTCCAAGCAGGCCGCCCTGTGAGGTCAGGGTGAGATTAGGTCTCCGAATGTAAGGGCACTGGAAGCTGTTGGGGTCCCCATTCAGAGACTCAAAGTGTAAGAGGAAGAATTCAAGGTGCACATTCTGAATTCCATTGGTGAAACTCAGCAGGCCTGATTTTAGCATGGGAAGCTGATGGATCAGTTGCCCTGCTCAGAGTAAAATGGGGTGGAATTCCAGAGAAAAGGGTACAGGGAAGAGAATATAGCACCTTCAGAAAATATGAAATAATGAGCTTTCTGTAGCCTCGTTAAGAATTTGCGTGTACATTCTGATTTGCATGTGTGTGTTTTAGTAGGAATTAAACACAGCATCTCATCCATCCTCAGCAAGCCTAAACCTTTTTTTAAAATTTTGAAACAAGAGTCTCACTAAGTTACCCAGACCAGCCTTGGATTTGTGATCCTCCTGCCTCAGCCTCTTAAGTAGCTAGAATTACCTTTTGAGGCTGGTATTAAAGAGAGCAGAGCTCCTATCACTGCTCCTAGAGACATTGTTCACAGAAACAAAATCAACCTTTTGTGCATGCTGGTATGTATCCTTCAGAGTTTAGTACATTGGACCTGATTTTATTTTCTTGAGAAAAATACATCTTTTTTACTTGAACAGATATTTGAGTTGAGTGTGTGTTAACCATTTTTTCAACTCATCAGCACTATTTATAGATGTAATTTTTTTATAGATGTAATTTTTAAAAAAACCTACATCAGATGTACTACAGGGGAAAAATATGATTTCTCCAATCAAAACAAAAAACTTTAGTGTGTCCAGGGAGCCATCATTTCCAGAATTGGAGACAGAGGTTTGGAACAAAATTAGAAATGTCAGGCAGTACAAGACATATTCCCTCCATTATGTATACTTTTTGACATTGAGCCTTTTCAGAGCTACATTCCTCCAACAGCTGTCATTAATTTTGTGGATCACACAGTGAATGAAGCTATATTGAGGGTGGCTAATAGGAATGTAACTTTGCCAAATTTTTGACAAATGGGTATCAACCCGGAGGATAAGGCTGGTTGTAGTTGCCTGTGAGAGTTTTATTTCCATTTGTTGCCAAGGCTGGAGAGAACAGTGGAGTCAGGGTGAGGAGCCTGCCAAAGCCATGTGTGTCCCCTCTCCCCACGTTTAAATGCTCATCCAGCGAAACACTGCCTCTTCGCATCACCAGGGTCAGCGGGAAAGGGGGCCTAGATGGATGAGGTGGCTCGCTTGTCCAAGGTGACATATCCTCCATTCCTTTCTTCTGGGTCCTTGGGCCTCTTTCCCTCCCAATTTCGGCCCTTGGGAAAATTGAAAGTAACTCTTTTGAAATGAAAATCGCCGGTGGTGTAGTCCCAAAGGCATTCATTCCTGGCCAGGATACGCCACACAGAAAAGCATTGCTGGTTGGACAAGTGGCCCAGAAACAAGCACCAGTTAACAGTTCCAAACTTATGAATCGGTGGAGAAGCATTGTATCAGTGAATGGCACAGGAGTTAAAGAATGTTCCAAAAGTGACGGATTGAAATTGCGTTTGTCAGTAAAACACGGACCCTTGAAAATGAGTTTCTTACTCTGCTGCCAAGCTGCATTTGGATTTGCTGTTCAGCCCAAGTGACCAGAACATAGAATGCTGCGTGTAGGTGCCTTGCATGCCAAGGAAGGCACTTCAGCCCATATTCCTTCTAGGGGAGCTGTAAGGCAGGGTCCTGCGAAATCACTTATCTCCAGAGGGGCCATGTCCCAGGGGTTGTCTGGGCACAGGTGGGCCAGAGGAGTAAAAAGGTGTATCCTGCTGGTTGCTATGTGGAGCCAGGGTGAGACCCGGTCTGTTTCCCTTCCTGGACTCCTGCCTTTCCAGTGGAACATTTTTTTTTTTTTTTTTGGTCACATAAATGGACCACTAGACTCCCACATGCTTGCACTGGAATCATGTAACCCTTTGGTGACCCAGTGAGCTAGGTTGTGATGGGCTGATCACATACTCGTGTCCCACCCAAGTTCACTTCTCTGTGAAGACCACAGTGCCCAATAAAACACTTGCCAAGGAATTCGAATCATGCTGTGGCTCAGGACATCGCTATCTGAAGTGAGCTCCATCACTGTGCCTGAAAGGATGGAGCGTTGTTGCTAAAAGTCCAGCGATCCTTATAGAAATGGGAACCAGTGCCCAAGCAGCAGGAAGGAGTTGTTCTGTTTTGTTTTTGTGTGGGGATCGAACTCCGGATCTAAATCCTGGGACCAGGAGTTTTGTTTTTAAAGAGTCACTGGCTCCACAGGGAATGCTAGCTGCTAGCAGATCAGCCCACCAGGAGTCCCAGGCAGCACAGAAGTGATTAATGGCTGGTTTATTCAGCTTGAAGACCTGTGCCAGGATTGTTTTCCAGCTACTGGCGCCCTGATGCTCCTTTCCAGAACAGCCCAGGGCTGACTCCTGAGCCCCTCCCTAAGAAATGTAGAAGGAATAAAGGCAGAGTAAGTCGTCTGGGAATGGGGTCACAGTGAATGTAAAGGAAACAGGCCTCCGCCGATTGTTGCTGGTCTCTAATCCTGGTGAACTCACCTGCGCCATCACTGGCCTCCTCCTCGGAAAAAAACTATGGAATGACTCCCTTCTCTCCTGGCTGTCATTCTTCCCACCTACGGCGTTTCTGTTACTCCAGTCATCTCTTACTCTGCTCATTCTCAGATGCGGAAAGGGCTTCCATATTACTTCCTGTTACCTAGAGAATGTGTGGAAACCAGGCCTTAAGGGCTAAGAATTAAATTCCATTTCCATTTAAAAATGATTTACGTTACCGAAGAGACCACAGATTGGGGGTTGGGGATCAGTACAGAAAAAGTACAACACGGACTTTATGCACTCAAGGAATCTATGATCTAGAGAAAGCAACTGAATATACGCGTACAAGAAGAGTAGTGTGTGTGATCACATGGCAAAGTGGGAGTGGACGACACCGGTGTACACAGAGGACAGACGTGCCCACTTCTGTCCACCTAGAGCCATGGGAGAGACTCCCTGAGGCGAGCCGTGCAGGGCATCTTCTCACAGGTGCTACAGCCACAGGCAGGTCATGACTCACCTTTGCCTCTGAGATCATAGAAAACAGCTTTGCCTTTTTTTTCCCCCCCTGGTTTGCTGTTGTAGCTTCCTTCGGCCAGACTCTCATTTTAAAACTCCTCCTTACCAACCATTCCTTCCCTTACAACATTTGATTTTTTAAAAATTGTTGGTCTCTACATAACCTTCACGTTGGTGCTAGAACACCTCTTAATCTTTAGAGGACAAAGGCGAACATAAACAAGTAGTTAAAGACTAGTGGTGGCGAACTTTTTAGACGGAGGCACTCATGGCATAGGGTTCACCCCCCACTGATACAGACTCTTAAGAGTCTACAAAATCAGCTGCTTATTCTACCAGTGAATTCTGAAAGTAGCTTTGGGTTTCTGAAAATGCAAATTGATGAGAAGTTTCTCTTCACATCCATTCCTTCCTTGAGAACACTCCCCAGGGCTGTTTCTTGGAGTAAAGAAGGCAGTGAAAGCTGGGTATAATGGTGCTCACCTCTAATTCCAGCTGCTTAGGAGGTTGAGGCAAGATAACCTTAAGTTTGAGGCTAGCCTGAGACACTTAGCAAGGTCCTGTCTCAGTGATCAAATGAGTGACTGAAGAGTGACATTGAGCTGATCCTTTGGGTTGCCTGACTAGAGGCCTCAGCCAAGTTCAGAGCTGCTCTAACAGGTTAGGATCCCTGTGTATCTCCACACAACCCATTTCCAGCCTTTCAAGGAAGAGGCAAAGTAGGGCAATGTGCGTGTTTGAGAGAGAATAGGGATTCACCGCCGTGTTTGCAGGAACTACTACAGTGGGATGGAAACGCTCCCTTGTTTTTCTACTTTTACTCCCACTGAAGAAAGGAAAAGTATTGCTGATCACTGTGGATGATTAAATTTGGATGGAGAAGACTCCATCCTGAAGAATTAATTCCAGTTTGTATAACAGGAATGGATATGTGTTGTATATTGAAAAGGATATTTAAATATCATGCAACAATTTGCAAGTTCAAATGTAAAGCTGTTTGCTTCCTTTGGATCCAAGGTTACAGGGTAAATAAGCCAAAATGTACACCTAAGGTAAAAGCTACTATATAATTCCATATATTTTGGGTTTTGTTATAAAAACAATAGAAAAAAATCTATAAATGATGACAAGTCACCCATAACCTCACTGTCATTTTAAAAAATGAAATAGAAACTTGTTTTCCATGTGTTTTGCCTGTGTGTATATAAGGCTTTTTATTCAAAGCTTCATTTTTTACTCAGAAGTTTTTACATACTCACCTTCTTATGGCTCCCTGGTCTTTGTGATGTCACCATATTATAGTCCTTCTAGTTCATGTACCATAATTGTTCTTATTTAGGTTGTTTCTAAATTTTTGCTCTTATGACTTGGTCTGATTTGACAGTCTTTATAGTGTGGATATTTTCTGACTGTGGGAAATGAAAACATACTTTTTTAAATAAGTATTTCTCTTAAGTGCAGGCGTAACCTAAATATAGAAATAAACTTTCTCAACTAGGCAGTGATTCCTGCTCCAGCCTGGACTTTTTTGTTTTGTTTTGTTTTGTTTTTTTCCATGCTTTAAGTTCTTAAAAAAGAAACAAAACAAAATAATTTTCCCAGAATGGTTGGGATAGAAGCTGTCAAGAAGTCTAGCCCCCATGTTATCTCTGTTTCCCTCTTCCACTTTACCCACCCACTCCCAACAAAAACTCAGGAAGTCAGGCCAGGGATTTAGCTCAGTGGTGCCTCACAAGCACAAGGACCTGAGTTTGATCCTCAGTACCAAAACAAAACAAAAGAAAAAAACCCTCAGGAAGTCAAACTTTAAGGGCCGGGATTTAGCTCAGTGGCGCCACACCTGCCTCATAAGCATAAGATCCTGAGTTCAATCCCTGGTACTGGGAAAAAACAAACTTTAGGCCTGTGTTCACCACAGCCACCCACTTTTTCCTGTGGCCCTTTCTCAGACCCATCATTGATAAAAGTGAGTGGCAGCTGTGTGGGCTTAGGGTATTGGCCCAGGGCCCCAGTTTTGTGAGGACTCTTAGTTACAAGGTAAGGAGCTGTAATAGGGAGAAAGTAGCCCTAAAGGAAAGTTAAACTGTAACACTAAGGAGGCATCCGAGAGAGAGGGTCAAATCCAGGCTTTGAAATAAGACCAGAACACGAAGCCCCCTCTGCCACTTACTGGTTGTGTGGCTAGATAAACTCCTTAACTTCTATGATTGTTTCTCCATCTTCAGAATGAGTCTTGTAATAACATCGACATTGTAAAATTCAGAACATGATTCAGTGAAAACGTATGGTAAGTTCTGAGTGCGGTGCCGGCAATCAAGGATGGACAATTTCCGTGGCTGTGTCAATACTGAAACACACCGAGGCTTGTGTCCCTCAGTCTACCCTTAAAGTCGCCCTCCCCATGCTACAAAGAAAAGCTTTCCCTCGCCTCTTCCCTACTCACCAGTGAGGCTTCCATACTGTGCTGTCTTTTCTCTTTCAAGGCTGTCAGATGGTTCTTTCCTCAGAATGGGTCACAGAGCAGGGACCACTTAGCGCGATAGCCCAGCTGGATCTTCCCCCCAAACCACAAGGAAGCAAGATTCATCACCCTTCAGGACTAAAATCTGGCATGGGGGGGGGGTGAGAACAGCGCCCTCTGGCAGGAAGAGGAAGGCCCTGAGTAGACCCCCCACTGACATGATGTTGACCCTGTAGGGAGCTGCAGGCCCCAGGGGCATCCACAGGAGAGTGTCTCCCCCAGGGCCCGATGGGGCTTTGGCTACAGGTTAGGCTTCCTGCCTACTTTTCAGTGGCACCATGGAAACCCAGCTCATTGCTTGTTAACCTCGCAGTCAAAGGGAGGTTACCTAGGCCACCTGAAAGTTGACTTCAGACAACAGCATCCTGATCCTGCTCCAGGAACATCCTCATTGCCTCAGGCTCCAGGGTTCAGGCTTCATGGTTCCCTGGTTTAGACTAGTAGCCCCCTCTGTATCTTTAACCTTTAAGCAAGGGAGTTGAGAGAAAGAAAGCAGGCTATTGTCAGTAGGAACAGGTCACAAATGTACCAGGGGAGGCAGGAGCTCATGGCTCTGAGTTAGCTGCTTTGCCTAGAGAGCATTTCTGGTACTCGACAGGCTGCAGGGACCCAGCCAGCACCAGGAATCAAGCCAAGCATCTGCTGTGTGCTCTTAGGTCTGGCTGGCCAGGATATCTGATACCAGGGAACGTCTTTCCTTTCACACACTATTGTCCTGGGGCTTCAGTTACATTCTTGACTGAGAGCCCAGGAACAGGGATAGTGGGCACTCCAGAAATCCTCAAGGTAGTGACAATGTGAGCTTGCAGCTAATGATGGCGCAGGCCCCTGGTTTTCAGCTCGAGTGGTCACTGCCACCTCCAGAGAGTGGAAGGAGCGTCCCTTGGCCTCAGATCTGGCATTAAGGAAGGGGGCGGGGGGCCAATTCCCCATTTGTACTGAGCATACCAGCAAAAGCAGGGCACCCAGAAGAATGAGTAGTACAAAATTTAATATAAGTTAATGTTTAACTTATATTTTATGTTTCAGAAAGTAGCGTTGACAGTCATCATTAGAAACATAGGGATTTCTATAAATTTACCTTGATTTTATAGTTTAGTGATTTTTGGAGTATGTGTGTGTATGTACACGCATGTGTGTGTTGGCTAGGATTTTAATTTTTATTAGTATGTGTAGCACATAATGTTTACATTCCTCATATGGAACTTGCACGTGTACATAGACTTTTTTTTTGAGACAGGGTGTAGCTATGCACTTCAGGCTCTGTAGCCCAGGCTGGCATCAAAGTCACGGCAAATCGCCTGCTTCTGCCTTTCAAGGGCTGGGATTACAGGTTTGTACCATCACACCCTGCCCATAACACATTTTAATTCCTTTTTTCATGCCCTTTCCCTCCCCTTCCTGTCTCTTGATCCCCTTTCCCTTTTAGAAAGATGTCTCCCTACTTCCTATTATATTTTTATTTATTTATTTTTTGGTACCGGGGATCGAACTCGGGTCCTTGGACTTGCAAGGCAGGTGGCGGAACCACTGGACTAAATCCCCGGTCCTTTCCTATTATCTTTTATTTTGCTCTTTATTTATAATTTAGGTTTCTCATATGAGAAACTATACAATATTTAAACTTGTGTGTCTGACTTTTCTTGAAACTGTGGTCTAAAGATGCAACTATTTTCCTACAAATTACTCAAGTTTTTCTTTATGGCAGAGTTGTACTGTGTTGTGTTATAAACACCACATTTCCTTTCTCCATTCATTTGCTGGTGGACATACAGGTTACTTCCAATATTTAGCTATTAGGAATTGTGGTTTCTTGGGGTTTTTTTCTGTTGTTGTTTTTTTGTGGGGTTTTTTTTTTGGTACCAGGGATCGGGCCTTTGTACTTACAAGGCAGGCAGCGGAACCACTGAGCTAAATCCCCAGCCCCTGAAATTGTGTTTTTGAAGCGAGGTTTTACCTTGTAGCTCAGGACAACCTTGAACTTGGCTGTGTAGCTCTGAGGCCCCAAACTCATGATCTTCCTGCCTCAGCCTTCCAAATGCTAGGATTGCAGTCATGTGCTACCATGCCTGGCTAGTTAGTGATGTTTTACCCTGAGTCTCAAATGCCTTTAGTGCTACAGGTGTCTTAAGTTGACCATAACATCCCATCGGTGCCTGGCACCACCACAAAGAACTGGGTCCCTCCACGGCTTCTCTGGACTCCTGAGAGCCCAGCTCACCTCTCCCCAGTACATGTCCACACACAAGCGCAGGATCTGAGGCCTTCGCTGCCGCCACTAACCATCAGCGGGACCCACCAGCCACCTTTGTGTGGTGAGGGAATCTGGGGGCCAGCCTCGGGCCTCCCTGAGCTTCGCCAAGTCAGGATAGCCCCTGGACATTGTGCCAGTGCAGCTGTGGGAAAGGGCAGAGCTGAGTCCCCCGAAAAAAAATTTATACCAAGGATGGAACTTGGGCCCTTGTGCTTTCGAGGCAGACACCAGAACCACTGAGCTAAATCCCCAAATTTCTGTGAGTGCAGAACAGGTCCAAACTCAGGTTCTGGCCAGGATGGGCTGGGCTGGGCCAGCTGAAGTTCTGCCTTTCTCACCAGCTCTAGGCAGTGCCATGGAAGTTCGTGGGCTCTGCGACGTGACTTAGTGTGGAGTGTGGTGGTTCTCAGATGCTGTAGGTGTCACAGCTATTGGCAAGAAACGGAAACCACCTACCCTACTCAGGATCCTTTGGCCCTGAGGGGAGCCCCGATTCCTAGGCGCTGGGCCCTGCCACTGCTCAGCTCTGGGACAGAGGGTTCCTGGGAGGAGTGCTACAAGACAGTGGCCAATGAGAAAGAGGTGCTTCCCAGTTCCTCGTCAGGAAACCACAGCCTTTTAGGAATTTAAGGAACCAAAACCCACAGATGCCCACTCCAGGGAGACTCCAGGGGAGTGGGCAGCGAGCAGGACTCTGGAAGCCCCGGTGAGCCTGAGATTGTCCCTCATCTCTGCTCCATCTCTTTCTCTGGCTGCATAGCTTGGGGGTGGGGCGTAAAGACAAAGGGGCCCCAGTGAGATTGGGGCCCCAGTCTTTCCAGGACCACAGCCATTCTTAGGGGGAGCTAATGCACAGGTCAAAAGTGGGGTGCTAGGCACAAAGTTTAACGAAGTGATCACTTAAGCCAGGAAAGCAGTTGGTCATGAATAAATACAGCCCTAAATCATCCATGTTAGGCATCTCATTCACTTTGCACTACGCCCAGCCCTGCTAAGTCAGATTGTGGCCACACTTTGGTCACCCCCCTTATTCTATCTGGGATAGTCACCTGGATTCTCCGTGCTTCCATTTGTTCCTTAAGAAAATAAGGGCAAGGGAAGAAAGTTACCACAAACATCCATACAGTCATTTGTACTGGGATGTACAGCACCTAATCTGGGTATGGTATGTAGTAAGTGCTCGATTAATGAATGAATCCCAGATCTGCTACAGTTTGGTTCTTAAGTGTCCCCAAGGGCCCATATGTTTAAGTTTGGTCCTCAGTGTGGCACTTTCTGGAAGGTGGGGAAGCTTTTAAGATACAAGTCCTGGAGGGAGATCTGTAGGGCATTGGGGGCATGGCCTCAGGGGACAGTGGGACACTGGCTGCTTCCTGTGTCTCTTTTTCTGCCTGTGAGGTTTTCTGTTCCACAAGCTTCCACCATGATCTGATGCCTCTTCCCAAGCTCAAAAGCACCAGGACCAGCTATGGGACTGGATTCTCCAAACCTGTGAGCCAAAATGAACTTTTTCTATTTATGATGCAGTTACATTAAGCCAAACGTAAGTCCTGGTAGAAAAGAGTTACAGTAACAGTAACAGAAAGCTGACCATCATAAAACCTTTTGTTATTTGATAGCACTTGCTCCCAGAAGAGGGCCAAAGCTGTTTTTCATCTTTATATTTAGTGTATCCCTGAAACCAACATAGGTCAGCAGAAAGCTGTTGAATTTGATATAGTTGCAGCTCACCTTGCCTGACAGTAAAGTTAGTACAGTGCACCCTTGACTTACAAACTTGATTGGTTCCCGAAGGCTGGTTATAACTAAAGTTGGTTGTAACTCAGTACAGCTGAGATCTGGATGTTTACCTGGATATACACTATAGATAACAAGAGGCAGGGTTGGGAATTTAGCTCAGGGGTGTCACCACCTGCCTCGCAAGCGCAAGGTCATGAGTTCGATCCCTGTACCCCAAAAAAAGATAATGAAAGGTAGATGGTAGATGAATCTTCTTTAACCTAATTAACCCAAGTTGTTCATATGTCTGGCCAGTTGTAACCTGAGGGGCCGCTGTAGTTGATTACAAGGTGTTAAATAAGGAACCTTCTTCAAAATATTTTTGTTACTCTTCTTGAAATCCCTCTGTTAATAATTTTTTTTCCTTTCACCATCTCCCTTACCCATGTGTCTTATTTTAAAGCTCCCATGCCTTTGGAGAAAGGTTATACTAACGAAAACCAAAGTTTTACCTCCTTTGCATTTTTTTCCCTGGAAACCCTGTAAACCAGGGCTTGGCGAACTGTGTCCTAGGGACCAAATTCATCAAACCACCTGCTTTTATGCAACCTCAGAACAAAGAATGGTTTTTACATTTTTAAACAGTAAAAGAAATCTCAAAATAAGAATAGTTGTTCATTATATATAAAAATTATATGAGCTTGAAATTTTAATGTTTATAAATAAGGTTTTCCTGGAGCCCGGCTATATCTGACCATTCCCTCATTTTGTGTCTGTGGCTGCTTTAGTGCTATGACAACAGAAATGAGTGGTTTTGACAGGGACATCAGGGCTTACACAGTCTGACATATTACAGTCTCTCCTTTACAGAAGTTTATTGCTGTTACAGGGAAAGCCATTTGTGTGCTTAGATTTACCCCGTCACATTGGGAACTGGTTTTGGGGGGGGCGTGGTTGTAGTGGTTGTACTGGGGATCGAACTCAGGACCTTGCGCTTGCAAGGCAGGTGGACACCACTGAGATAAATCCCTGCCCCACATGTTGAGTACTTTTTACAGAAATCACTAGATATGATCTTTTTAGTGGAAAAGTGACACTTACTTTAAGAGATATATGGATTCCCAGAAAGTTCTGTGTAAACAGAAAGCTCATCAATAAAGTAAATACTTTCTATTGCCTTCCTGAGGTTTGGGGGATAGGTTGGTTGGGATGAAAGCCAGTGTCACCCCAGGGACCACTCCTCTCCATCTTGTTTTCACTGCTTATAATTCTTGCATCTGAGGGCCACCGGTGCTGCTGTACCCCACGCTTAATCTCTTGAGTCTCAGCTCTGTGGAAGCAGACTGTTTGAATTATGATCCAAGCAAGAGAGAGATTTTCCCCAGGGGGAGGGAAGGAAGCAATTTACTTGGGTCATCCCAACAGGGTTCCTGGGAAATCATCTGTCTGCCTGTGAATGGTTTCCATCCCACAAGGAGCAGGGGGAGGGG